AGGCGATCATGACTGAATGAGGCTTGAATGGGAGACCACCTGGGGAGACCAGGGCTGGAGGCTTTTGGCCTCCTGCTCACTTCCCGCATTCCCCTGCTTTTGGCACTGCAGGAAGTGGGGGAATGAGAAAAGGAGCTAAATGCAAAAACTGTCAGCCCCCGGTCTCCCCTTGTGGTCCTTCCTACAAGCCAAAGCAAGGCCTGACCCTGTGCAGCTTCCAGGCTGGGGAGCCCTCAGGCTGCTATGTCACCTGGTAGCTGCTGACAGGGCCGCAGCGGGGGTGTAGGGGGTCAAAAAGAAAAGGACAGAGAGTTAGGGTTTAGTTGGAAAGCACTGCAACACGCAGAAGAAAGTGGGAAGGGAGCGGGAAGCCGAAAGCTTCCAGGCCCTTATCTCCCCAGGCGGTCCACGATCCAAGTCCCAGCCAGTCCCTACCCTGCTTAGCTCTGAGCTGGGATGACCTCAGGCTGCTACTGCACCTGAGGAGCTGCCATGACAGACACCCACAGGAAGGTCCCTGGCCACAGTGGGGAACAGGTGGGATGAAATGTGAGGGCCAGAGAGTTAGCAGCTTGTTGGGAAGCATTGCAACAAGCAAAAAAATGGGAGGGCGAGGGAAGCCAAAAGCCTCAGCTTCCACTCTCCCCAGCAGTCCCCCATCCAAGCACCATCAAGGCCCAACTCCGCTTAGCTTCTAGGCTGAGGCATCCTTGAGCTACCATGACACCCAGCGGCTGCTGGGACAGACCCCCTCAGGGATGCCCCAGGATGTGGAGGGGGCACAAGCATGCGGGAGTAGGAAAGTGACAGCCTGAGTGTCAGGAGAAGGTTGGAAATCTTTGCAACAAGGAGGGGAATTTGGGAGAAAAACTGGAAGCGAAAAGCCTCTAGCCCCTATCTCCCTAGGCAGTCCCCCATCCAAGCCCAAGCTGGGATGTATCCTGCTTAGCTTCTAGGCTGAGGCACCCACAGGCTGCAGTGGCTATTGGCTACTTCAGAGGCAAGCCCATTCAGGGAGGTCCTGGGCCATGGTTTGGGTGCTGGCAGGCTGAAAAGGGCTGGCCAGAGTCAGGGGGTATTTGGGAAGGGTGGCCACATTTGAGGGAAGGAGGGAAAGGAGCCAGAAGCCAAAAGCCTCTAGCCCCCTATACCCTCTGGCCATCCTCCATTCAAGCCCCAGCCAGGGCCAACCCTGCTTAGCTCCCGGGTTGGTGTGCCCTGAGAAAGCCATGGCACCAGGGATCTTACAGGGAGGTCCCAGGCCACAACAGGCTTGCAGGCTGATGGAATATGGGGCCAGAGTCAGGGGGCAGTTGAGAAGCATCTGGACAAGTGGGAAAAAGAGAGAAGGGTGTGGGAAGAAAAGAGCCTCCAGCCCTTGGTCTCCCCAAGCGGCCTCCATCCAAGCCACAGCCAGGCTCAACCGTGCTTAACTTTCACACTGGGGCACACTCAGGGTGCTATGGCACCTGAGGAGTGCTGGGAGGACCTTCAGAAGAACGTCCTGGGCTGCCAAGGGGTGCAAGCTGGCAGAAAAGGTGGAGCCTCAGTGAGTCAGAGGGTGGTTGGGACAAGTGGGGCAACGTGGAAGAAACGGGGAAGGCAACAGTCCCCAGCTGCTGGTATCCCCAGGTGGTACCCCATCCAAGTGCCAACCAAGCAAGACCCTGCATAGCTTCCGGGATGTGGCACCCTAGGGCTGCTACGGTGCCTTGGGACTGCCGATACAAACCCAAATGGGGAAGGCCTGGGACAAGGCGTGGGTCTAGGCAAGTGGGAAAAAAAGATGCAGATTCGGGTGCGATTGGGAAGCCCTGGGACTAGTGGGAGAAAGCTTGTTGATGTCTGAAAGAAAATGCCTCCAGCACCTGCCTTTCCAGTCAGTCCCCATCCAAGCCCTGCCAGGCCTGACCCTGCTTAGCTTCTGGGCTGTGGTGCCCTAGGGCTACTCTGGCACCTAGGGGCTGCTGAGACAAACCCACCTGGGGAGGTCCAAGGTCTTGGTGTGGGTGTAGGCAAGAGGGAAAGCGTTGGGACAAGAGGGAAAAACTTGACGAAGATGAAGAGGCAAAAGCCTCCAGCCCCAGTCTTTCCAGGCGGTCCCCCATCCAAGTCCCTGCCAGGCTGATCCTTGCTTAGCTTCCTGGTCCCCACCTGCCGGTGTTTTCACTGCAGCCTGGTACCTCTTTGTAGTGGTTTGTACTGGCAGGCTCCGTGGGCCCCTGCAGCCTGAGGGTGGCTCATCCTGGAAGCTGAGCAGGGTTTGGCTTAACTGAAGCTTGGATGGGGAACCACCTGGGGAGATCAGGGCTGGAGGCTTTTGGCTTCCCGTTCTTTTCCCACTTTCCTCCTCTTATTGAAACACTTCGTAACCACCCCTGGACTCTCTGGACACCATATCACGCCCAACGCATACTCAGACCTCCCCGTGGGGGTCCATCCCAGCTGACTCCAGTTGGCATAGCAGCCTGAGGGTGCCCCAGCATGCAAGCTGAGCAGAGTAGGGCATGAGGGACCACCTTGGGAGTCTGGTGGCTGGAGACTTTTGGACTCCTGCTAACTTCCTGCTTTCCTTCACTTTTGGCTACGATTTCCAACTGCTCTCTGACTCCCTAATCTCCCGTTTCCTCCTGCCAGTGCCCCCACCTTGAACTGCAACTTCTCCATGGGGGTTTGTTCCAGTAGCCTCCCATCACCATAGTAGACTGAGGACCCCCAGCCCAGAAGCTAAGCAGGGTTGGGCCTAACAGAGGCTTGGATGGGGTACCACGTGGAATGACCAGGCTTCGAGCTTTTTGGCTTCCTGCTCTTTTCGACCTTTTCCCCCTTGTGGCAACATTTCTCAACCACACCCTGACCTTCAGACTGCTATGGTTTGCAGAGGCTGCATAGATGAAGCCCCATAGGCAGGTGCCTGGCCACAGGTGGGGGGCAGGTTAGCTGGAAAAGAAATGCCAGAGAGTTAGCAAGTGGTTGGGAAGTGTCGTGACAAGCAAGAAAAACCTAACGGGAGTGGGAAGCCAAAAGCCTCTAGACCACAGTCTCCCCAAGTAGTCCCCGGTCCAAGCCCCACCAAAGCTCTACCCTGCTTAGCTTTGATGTTGGGGCACCCTCAGGCTGCTATGAAGCCCAAGGGCTGCTATCATGGTCCTCCTCAGGGACACTTCACAACAGTGGGCACAGGAGTGTGTGGAAGTCAATTAGGAAAAGCCAGAGAATCATTGGGCTGTTGGAATGCTTTGTGACAAGCAGGAAAAATGAGAAAAGAGTAAGAAGCCAAAAGCAACCAGCCCCATCTCCTTGGGCAGTCCCCAATCCTAGCCCAAGCCAGGCTCGACCCCTCTTAGCTTCAATGAAATTTGGTGCCTTCAAAGAGGTGAGGTCCCAGGCCAGAGCAGGGGTGCAGGCAGGCGCAGAAGGGCTGGCCAAAGAGTTGGGGGCAGATAGAAAGAGTTGCCACAATTGGAGGAAAGCAGTAAGGAGGCAAGAAGCCACAAGTCTCCAGCCCCCTGTCCCTCCAGGTGTTCCCCCATGCAAGCCCTAGCCAAGCCTGACCCTGCTTAGCTCCCGGGCTGGGGCACTCTCAGCGTGCTTTGGTGCCTCTCCACCCGTTAAATACAAACTCCCTGTTCCCTCCTCTGCCAGCCCCTGGCAACCACCACTCTACTTTCTGTCTTTACCATTTTGACTATTATTTTGTTTTTGCTCTTGTTTTGAGACGAAGTCTCATTCTGTCACCCAGGCTGGAGTACAGTGGCTCACTGCAACCTCTGCCTACTGAGTTCAAGTGATTCTCATGCCTCAGCCTCCCAAGTAGCTGGGATTACAGGCATATGCCATTATGCTGGGCTAATTTTTGTATTTTTAGTAGAGATGTGGTTTCAGCATGTTGGTCAGGCTGGTCTTGAACTCCTGACACGGCCGGACAAGGTGGCTCACACCTGTAATCTCAGCACTTTGGGAGGCCAAGATGGCAGATCACAAGCTCAGGAGTTTGAGACCAGCCTGGGCAACATGGTGAAACCCTGTCTTTACTAAAAATACAAACATTAGCCACTCACGGTGGCGGGTGCCTGTAATCCCAGCTACTCGGGAAGCTGAGGCAGGAGAATTGCTTAAGTCTGGGAGGCGGAGACTGAAGTGACCCCAGAAATGCAACCTCCTCCTCGGGTTCAAGCGGTTCTCCTGCCTCAGCCCCTCCAGTAGCTGGGATTACAGATGGGCGCCACCACGCCCGGTTAATTTTTGTATTTTTAGTAGAGACGAGGTTTCAGCATGATGGCCAGGTGGCTGGGATTCCCCCGCCTCGCCCCAGATCCCCGGGAGGCCAGCACGGCCCTCCCATGGGTGTCACAGAGACAGATGCGATGCGGGTCCCTCTCCCTGGGAAGGGACGGGCTGGGTCCAGTCCGCCGGGCCCCTCCGGGCGCTGACCTCGGATGGAGTTGAGGTGCTGCGGCGCTGGACCCCAGGACCCCTGCCTGCCTCCTGGGGAGCCGGGTGACCCAGGCAGCCCCGGTGAGGCCCCCGGGCTCCCACAGGACGGATGCGGACAGGGAGGCTGGGGAGGCCTCCCTGCTGGACTGTCCCTGCAGCCCCCAGCTTTCCGTGGTTCTAAGGGCCCCCTCTGCAGAGGGACCAGGGAGCCCGCCCTGCATCCTGAGGCGCCGCGCTTGGGGGACCCCAGAGCTCCGGCCGGGCCGCTTCCTTTGCGGATCGTGAAGCTGAGGTCCAGAGGAGGGCAGGGGCAGGTCCTGGAAGCTCCCCAGGCAAAGGGAGCCGATTTCGGGGCTGGGGTCACAGGGCTCCACTCCTGTGATCTCTAGGGCCCTAGAGCCGGGAGGAGAGACTGGGGGGCCTTTCGTCCACCGCTGGGGCTGGGCAGAGGCTCAGCCTGTGCCGCAACGCGAAGCTGCTTCTGTGCAGTCCGAGCCGTGGCCCCTTTAAGAAGGGGTGGTGCTTCAGCCAGTCGCTAGGGACGCTGCCGGCGTGCGCGCCTCTACGGAAGCCGAGGCGGCGCTTTCTGCGGGGCCCGGGCAGAAGCCGCGGCGTCGTTGAAGCGAACTGAAGCTGCGGCGATGTGGTCGGAGCGAGCGAAAGCGGCGGCCAGAGTCTGGGGCGTCGTCCTAGTGGGCAGAAGCGCAGTCGACGTCCCAGCGATCAGAAGCGACCGCGCGGTCCCAGCCGGCAAAAGCGGAGGCCGCGTCCCAGCGAACAGAAGCGGCGGCGTCCAGAAGCGGCGAGCTTCGGAGAAGCCGTGGTGGCTTCCATGTGATGGAGGAGCAGGAGGGACGCTTCCGCGGTAAGTGGCGGGGCATGGACCCCCCCGGAACCCTCCGGGCCTCCCTGCTCCTTCCCCACCGCTCGCTTTTGGGCCCTGACTCCTTGTGGGCATCTGGGCCCCAGTAGTCTGCGTGGCGGTGGTTGTGGGGTCCTGGCCGCCGCAGCGTGCGCACCCTGGCCGGGAACGGTGTGCGACCCGCGTCCAGCCTGTAGGAGCACCTGGCCCAGAGGCCGGTGAAGCGCGAGACCTGGGACCCTCCGAGCCCCAGGCCCTCTGAGCTGAGGTCCAGGGTTATATGATGTTTCGGGACCTTTAGAGAGAGACCTCGCTAGAACACAGAACAGGTGACATTTGTAGTGTGAATTCTTTGAGGAGTCTCCAGGTAGTTCGCTGTTTTCCGAGGTGTCTATTCTGATTCTCATTTACAGTGTATGAGTTCCCTTTTCTCCAAAACCATACCCGTGTTCCCTTTTTTTTTTTTTTACTTTTTCCTTTGGAGACAATCTCGTTCTGTCCCGGCGGGAGTGCAGTGGTGCCATCTGGCCTCCCTGCAACCTGCGCTCCCGGGTTCAAGCAATTTTCCTGTCTCAGCCTCCTGAGTAGCTGGGACTACAGGGGCCCGCCGCCACGCCAGGCTGATTTTTGTATCAGTAGTAAAGACGGGGTTTCTCCATATTGATCAGGCTGGTCTCAAACTCTTGACCTCAGGTGATCTGCTGCCTGGGACTCCCAAAAGTTCTGGGATTACTGGCGTAAGCCACCGAGCCTGGCCTCTCCTGTTTTTAAAAAACTTTCTAGGAATATTCAGTAAGTGTGAGATTATCTGTGTGTGGGTTTCAGTTAAACCACACACAGTTAATTAACTGTTGGATAGTTAATTTTGAGGACATTTTATCTGTTGTTCGATTTTCTGTCGCAGAATTGTCTGTTCAGGTCCTTTGCGAAATATTAGATTCTTTTGCTACTTTGTAGTGTTTTTTATGTTCACCTTAGATGACAACTCATGAATTACATGATTACCTGAAATTTTTGCCTAATCTATAGGACGCTTTTTAAATTTGGAAGGTAGTTTCTTTGCCGTGCAGAAACTTTTCAGGTTGATGTAGTCCATGTTTATTTTTGCGCTTTATGCATGTAATTCTGGTCACCCATATAAGAAAATACTTCTCAGTGACAAAGCATTTAATTGTCAAGGAGGTTTTCCTTCCAGGGTGTTTGTTTCTTTCTCTCTTTGCAAAGGTGAGCAGAGAGTCACGTGACCCAGAATATATGCTCAACCTGTGTTTTAGTTAAAAACATTTTGTGCTATATGGTCTTTTGTTCTGGTCTTTGGGGTTTTTTTTGGTTTGTTTTTTTGCTGGGGTGGGGGTTGATTTTCATATATGATGCAAAATCAGGGTCCTGTTTCTTCTGCATTCAGATAACATTTTTCTCAAAGGTATTCATTGAGCAGACTCTGCCTGCCACACTGCGGTGGTCTTTATCAAAGTGAGTTGACTATGTCCATATTTGCGTTGATCTTGTTTTGGCCTCCCCATTTTTATCCACAATTCTAGGTATTGTTTTTATCCAGTTACCATATATGTGCTGCATAACTGCAGCTCGGCAGTGTGATTTAATATCGAGGATTGTGGGTCCTCACTTTGATTGAATTTCTCAGGATTCCTTTAGATATGAATTGCTTTTATGGTTCCCTGTGATTTTTAGCAGTATATATTTATTTCTGTTAACTTTTTTTCACAACATAAAGGTGCATAATTAGGGGTACGTTTTCACACGTATAGATTGGGTAATGATCAAATCAGGGTACTTAGGATCTCTGTTCCCTCATAAGGGATTAATTTTGTGTGGAGAGAACACATAAAATTCTCCTTTCTTGTTCTTTTGAAAAATACAATATTGTTAACTCCGGTCACCAGGCTGAGGAGAACACTCAGTTTGATTCCTTTAAGGTTAAGATAACTTTGCTTCCATAACCAATCCTACTCCCCCTCTATCTCCCAGACCCTGGTAACCAATATTGTGCTTTTTACCTCTTTAAGAGAGACATCTTAAGATTCAGTGTTTGTCTTTCTTGGCCCAGCTCATTATGTTTAACATAATGTTTTCCAGGTTCATCTGGGTTGCTCCACATGACACTGTTTCATCATTTCGGTGGCCGAAGAATATTCCCTAGTGTATGCATACGAGAGTTTCTTGATCCCGTTGTGGATGGACGGGTAGGTAGAATGTATACCCAGTAGTGGGAATGCTAGCTGGTATGCTATTTTTCTTTTCTATTCTTTGCAGGACCCCCAACTGTTTATAGCGTTAATACTAATTTATGTTTCCACAAACAGTTCCCCTTTGTGGAAATTCATACTAGAAGTTGTCTTTTTAAATATTTTAATCTGTTTGTAATGTTCATTCTAGTTGGAGTGAGATAAGATCTGAGTGTGGTTTTGATCATCATTTTTCTCGTGCATAGTAACGGTAACCACATTTTTGCAAATGTTGCATCAGTTTCTTGTCTGCACAAATATCTCTTCAGGTTATTTGGTTTGGTTATTTTTCTCCTTTTTTTTTTTTTTTTGCCAGTCGGTAGTGTTACTGGCTTGTACCTTTTCAAAAATAACCCCTTATCCAACTGAATGTTTGCCCAAATGTTTCTTACAGTTTTTAGTATGCTTTTTCATTTTGTTCATTGTTTGTTAGACACAAACTCCTTAGTGTGACGTGGCCCCACATGTGTATGATTTCTTGGTTAGCTGTGCTGTTGGTTACTAATGAAGAAAAAACTCAATTACTACCAAAGCAGTCCATTGTCCACGATTTTCTTTTCCTTGTATTTTTGTTTTTGCAAATCGTGAGCATACATCCAAGTTGCAATAAATATCCGCACACTGAGGTTGTCTTTATAGGAGCTTTATGGTTGCAAGTTTTGTGTATAATCTTTAATCCTTTTCAGTTGATTATTGTGTATTTCATACCATGAGAGTCCTGTATTATTCTTTTGCATATGGATACCTAGTTTTGAAAACCTTCCCCATTGTGTCAGTTTGGTAGTGTTTTGAAAAATGTATTCACTCTATATAAACTTCCGTTTATTATTAAACGCCCTCATTTTGCTCACTGGTCTGTGTTTCTCTGTGTTTACCAGTAGCATATGGGTTGGTTAACTAGGGATTTTCATTTAATTAGAACTCAGGGAATGTGATACATGCCACATGGTTTGTGTTTCTCAGGGTAACTGTGGAAATTCAGGGTGTTTCACATTTCCATATAAATTTTGGCATTGTTTTCTTTATATATCTTAAAACACCATTTCCCATATATAAATGTATATAATGAGAGGGTACAGGGAAGATTTTGATACATGTGTATTCTGAGTAATGATCAAATTGGGTTATTTAGCATCTCTTCACCTGGTATAGTTATGATATTTTTGTGTGGTAGCAACATTCAGAATATTTTCTTCTAGCTACTTTGAGACATATACATTTGTGTTAAGGCCAGTCACCCTGCTGTGGAATAGAAGACCAGAATTGGTTGCTGTCATCTGAGGAAAGTTTTTACCCATTACTGATTCCTTCCCAGACCCTCTCCATTTTCCCAGCAACCTCTAGTAACCCCTATTGAACTTTCTGCTTCTAGGAGGTGAAGATGTTTTCAGTCTGCATGCCTGAGATCGTGTGGAATGGGATTTTCTCTACCAGGCTCATTCGTTGGACCTGATGTTCTCCAGGTTTCTTCATGTGGCTGCAGATGGCAGGATTCCCAGAGCTTTATGGCTGGAACATACTCCATGGTGTATCTGTACAGCAGTTTCTTCATCCCTGCAGCTGCGGGTGGACAGGTAGGTTGGTTCTGTACTTTGGCCACAGTTACAAGTGCTTCAGTACCCATGGAAGGCAGATAGCTCTCTTCAGCCCAGGGATTTCAACTGCTTTAAATGTGGAACCAGTGGTGGGGCTGCCAGCTGACATGGTAGTTGTACCGTGAAGTTTTTCAGGAACCTCTTGCTGTTTCTCAGTGTGTGTATAGTAGTTCAGGTCTCCACCAATAGTGTTGAAGAGGTTACCTTTCTGTAAGTCTACACTGGCTGGCGCCTTCCAAAATTTGTGTTTTGTTTTTGGTAGTATTCATAGCGAGTGGAAGGAGACGGAATCTTAGCATGGTTTCCATGGACATTTTTGTGAGTATTAGTGATGTGGAGAAAGTCATTTGAGAAATCCCCATGTTGCTTTCCATGGTGTCTGAACTGGTTTGCATTTGCACCAGCAGCAGAGCAGCGTCCCTGTCCTCTGCCTCGCCTGCATTCGTTCTTGGGGACTGTGTCCTAATCGTCATTCTGGTCAGTGTGAAATACTATCTCGTGGGCCTTTTGCTTTGCCTCTTTCTGATGCTGACTGAGGCAGAGAAGTGTTGTCATGTCTGTTGGTTGCTGTGAGCCTTCTTTTGAGGTGCGTGTTTTCATGCCCCTTGCCCTTTCTTCATTGAGTTTTTGTTCTCCTGGTTTATTTGCTTAACATCTTTAAGGTGGATCCGGGATATTAGCCTTCATCAGATGCACGCGTGGGAACATTTTCTCCCGTTGTGCGGGCCGTCTGTTCACTCTGTTGGTCATTTCTTCTGTGCAGCAGCTCTTTGTGTATTAGGTGCCACTGGGCAATAATTGTTTTAGTTACACTTGCCTTTGGAGACTGAGACACATCCACGCTGTGCCAAATCCTCTGTCAGGAAGGGCGTTTCTAGGTTCTCTTGCAGGCTTTTCATAGTTTGAGGTCTTGCATTTACATCTTTCATTCATCTTGAGTTTGTGTCTGTACACCGTGAGACACGGGGCCCACTGTTTTTCTTCTGCAGCTGGCTAGTCATTTATGCCAGCACCATCTATTGAAAGGAGGGAGTCCTTTCTCCAAAGCTGATTTTTGTGAATTTTGTTGAAGATCAGATGGTGTTAGAGGTGAGGGTTTCAGTCTGGGTCCTCTAATCTGTTCCACTACTCTGTGTGGAATGGGGTCCCTAGCTTTTCAATGAAATTTAATATCAAGAAGTGTGACACAACCGAGGTAGTTTGGATTTCTCAGGATTGCTTTGGAAATTCAATGTGTTTTATGGGCCACATGAATTTTAGCATTGCATATTTACATAGTTTTTAAAAGGTTGGTCATATAGTAAAGGTATACAATGGGGGAAGTTAGAGTGGGGCATTTTGATTAATGCAGACACAGAGGAATGATCAAATCAGGATATTTAGAGCCTCTCTTATCAGAAACAGTTGTGAATTTGTTTGTGGTAGAAACATTTGGAATCTCCCAGATTTTGTGGAAAGGGTGTGATGTTGTGTTAACCTCTGGTCACTTGGCTGTGGACCAGTGAGGAGCGATTCATTCCTCTCATCTAAGGGTAACTTTGTGCCTATTTCTGACCTCTGCCCGTGCCCCTTCTTCCCTCCAACCTTTAGTAACTACTATTGTGCTTTGTAGACCTATGCAATAAAGCCTTTTATTTTGGATTCTACATTAGTTGTTCTTTTTCTGCCTGTCTTAGGTCATACACGATGTCCTCCAAGTTCAACAGCGTGGCTCCAAATGATGACATTTCATTCCGGTTTTCTAGCTGAAGACGATTCTATTTGTGCACATACACCAGGTATCCCTTCATGTGTGGATGGGCAGGTAAGTCTATTCTTTGTCTTGGCAATTGTGAATAGTGCTGCAGTCCACATAGGATGGCAGATGCCTCTTGTATGGACTGATTTCTTTCGTCCTGAAAGTATACTTAGTAGTAGACTTGTTAGATGAAGTGGTAGTTGTAGGTTAAACTTTTGGAGGAAGCTCCCACTGGTGTCTGTAGTATGAATGCTAATTAACATTCTGACCAAATGAGCTCCTCTGTGGAAATTGACAGCAGCATTTGCATCTCTTTTAATGTATTTGATTGCTTTGATAACACCCGTATGAATTATAGTGAGATCATGTGTGTTGCTTTGATTTACATCTTTCTCGTGATTTGCGATATTATCTAAGTTTTTAAAACTTGTTTTCAACGTTACGTCTTCTTTGCAGAAATGTCTGTTTAGGTTATTTGGTCCCAGTTTGCTTAGTTATTAGTTTCTCTTTTGTGTTTTTGCTAGTAAGTAGCGTTTGTTGCTTAGACATTTTGAAGACAACCTTTCATCATATGTAGGTTTGCCGAAACCTTTCTTGTAAACTTCAGGATAATTTTTTTTTTTTTTGAGAGGAGTTTCGCTCTTGTTACCCAGGCTGGAGTGCTATGGTGCAATCTTGGCTCACTGCAACCTCCGCCTCCTGGGTTCAGGCAATTCTCCTGCCTCAGCCTCCCGAGTAGCTGGGATTACAGGCACGCGCCACCATGCCCAGCTAATTTTTTGTATTTTTAGTAGAGACGGGGTTTCACCATGTTGACCAGGATGGTCTCGATCTCTTGAGCTTGTGATCCACCCGCCTCAGCCTCCCAAAGTGTTGGGATTACAGGCTTGAGCCACCACACCTGGCGGATTTTTTAGAAATCTGCTTGGGCACAAACTCTAACGTATGATGTAGTCCCACGTGTGTCTGTTTTCTTGTTGTCCTTTGATGTAGGTGACTGATGAGGAAAAACAGAATCATGACCAAACTATCCCATCATCTATGAGATTTTCCCCCCGTATTTTTTATTTTGTTTTGGCACACTGTGAGCACAGATCCACATTGACCTAAACATACCCACACCATGTGTCTTCTCATTGGAAGAGTTTGATGCTTTTGACTTTTTGTTGATCAGTCTCTAATTCATTTTGAGTTAATCCTTGGTCTTTTTACACAGTTGGGGTCCTATTCTACTTACGTAGGGATATCCAGTTTTCAAATCCATTTACTAAACAGATTCCCGCTCTTCATTGTGTCTGTCGGTGTTCTTTTACAAAATGTGTACACCACCTAGGAATTTGGGTTTGTGATCGAGCTCCCTCATTCTGTCTGTTGGGTTTCTCGATTAGTGCCAGTCATCTAGTGTTTAGATAACTGGCTTCTCAATATAATTTCAAATGGAGGACAGTGATGCATTCCATGTACTTTGTGTTTTCAGGGTTGCTTTGAAATTCAGGGTGTTTCATGGTTCCATGTAAATTTTAGTGTCATTGGTATTTTTTTTTTTTATAAAGCGATTACGCTAGAGCATATGTATATAACTATAAGATACAGGGGCCATTTTGATATGGGTGCACCTAGCATATTGATCGAATCACAATATTTAGCATCTGTGAAGTCCTCTAGGTATTATTTGTCTGTGGAGGTGATACTCATAATCCTTTCCAGCTCTTTGGAAAATTCACTACAATATTAACCCTGGTCACCCTGCTATAGAAGAGAAGGGCAGGACTGATCTGTTTTCTAAGTGTAACTTTGTACCCAGCACCAATCCCTGCCTAGGCGCCCCTTCCCCACAGCCTCTGGTAACCACTATTGAACTTTGTGCTTCTGTGAGGTCAAGTTTTTTCAGATTCCACGTGCATGAGATCATGCAGTATATGCCTTTCTCTGCCTGGCTTATTTCATTTAACATAATGTTCCTCAGGTTTTTCCACGTGGCCGCAAGTGACGAGATTTCACCCATTTCTACAATTAAAGAATATTCTGCTCTGGATGTATATTGCAGTTTCTTCATCCCTTCACAATGGAAGAACAGGTAGGTGTATTTCCTATCTTGGCTATCGTGAGTACTGCAGTACGGAGGGTAAGGCAGGTATCTCTTCCATGTAGGAATGGAATGATGGCTGGATGAAATGGGCATTTACTTCGTTGGAGGCACTTCCAGCTGTTTTTCATAGTGTGTGTAGACACTGACATTCCACCAATAGTGTATGAGAAGAGTTTCCCCTTCTGAAAGTCTGTACTAGTTGTTTCCTTTTAAAAGTTTTATTTCTGTTTTAGGTAACATTCATTCGATGTGGATGGAAGCGGCATCTCAGTGCAGGTTTCCTTGACATTCTTGTGAGGATTAGCGCTTTTGAGAGACTTTTCTTTTACCTGTGAGTCAGTTTCCCATCTGCTTCGCAGACACCTCTGTTCAGGTCCTTTGCCCAGACTTAGCTTGGGTGTTTGTTTTTGTTTCCCCCCACATGGTAGTGTTAGTGTCTTTCACAGATTTTATAACGACCCCTTTGAAAGACAGGATTTTCCATAGTTTTCTTTCAGTCTGTGAGGCACCTTCTCTTCTGTTCATTGTTTTCTTTTCACAGCATGAGATCTGATGTTTTCCGTAGTTCCACCTGTTTACATATTAGTGGTGTCTTCCGTTTGCAGTTAAAAACAGTGAAAAAGATTGCCAATCCATGGCATTGTCTATGTTTTTTTCCTTCTAATTTTCTTTTTCTTTTTATATTTCACGTTTTGCAACTTGTGTGCATAGATTAGTCTTCTAAACTATGTGCTTACCTGTTGTTTCCTGAGGGAAGGAAATGGTTTCAAGATTGAGTTTAGGCCTTTCATGTAATTTACATCGATTTTTGTCCTATTTCAGTGTTTTTCATGTGGTTATCCAGTTTGCTCAAAATCATTTATTCTTTTCCCATTGTGTCTATTTGTGTTGTGTTTAAAAATGTGTTCAGTGTACATTCATTTGGGCGGCATGTGGGACTCCCTCATTCTGTCCGTTGGGTAGCCTTTCTGTTTTTATGCCAGTGGCAGGTTGTTTGGGTAAATAGAGGTTTTCGTTATTTTATCATTATGCTCACTCAGTGCCTTTAGTTTCTTGCATATGTTAGAAAACAGTTCTTTTTGGATACATGATTTTCTATAATTTTATCCCAATCTGTAGGGTGCCTTTTCTTTGGGTTCACCGTTTTCTCCTTGTTTATAAATTTTAAAGTTGTCCTTTGTCTAACCTGTTTAAATTTGCTTTTGTTAGCAGGGATGTTTGTTTCCCGTTGGGAAATAAAGCGAGCTAGATGGCGAAAATGTTGTATTATTTATGGGTATATTCTTCCTAATTTTTCCTTTCTGCAGCTGGTGTACACAGATTCAAGTTTTCCCAAAATAGACACTCACCCTATGTATTTTCCTGAGAGCTTGTTAAGTTTCAGGATTAAACTTAGGCGCTGAGTTGGTTTTGTGTTGATGTTTGTGTTCTTGTGCAACGTAAGGGTCTCACTTCAGTCCTCTGCACTTGAATAGCCAGGTTTCTCAACCTGGGTGCCTTTGGTGTGTTTCTGAAAAATGTGTTTATATCATTTTGGTCTGATTGTCTGGCTCCTTCATTTGGTCCATTTGGTGATCTTTCTGTGTTTATGTCACTAATGGATGGAAAGGGTCAGGGTAAGTTTTGTTTTCTTTTTTTCTTTTTCTGTAGCTTTCCACCTTGATTTGGTAAAAGAGTACCTACATTTACTTCGATTAACAATATTGTGCACACAGTACTAGTCGGGTGGTTCATCAATTGATCATCTATCTCAATTGGGGTAAATGTTAGTGAAATGATAGAAATAACAAAGACATTTATCAAAAGAGGGCTCTCATGCACAAATAAGTTCCAGTATCAAAAATTCAGTAGGCTGGGCACAGTGACTCACACCTATAATCCCAGCACTTTGGGAGGCCGAGGTAGGCAAATCACCTGAAGTTAGGAGTTTGAGACCAGCCTGGTCAACATGGTGAAACCCCATTTCTACTAAAAATTGCAAATATGAGCCGGGCGTGGTGGTAGACACCTGTAATCCCAGCTATTCAAGAGCTGAGGCTGGAGGATAGCTTTAACCCGGGAGGCGGAGGTTGCAATGAGCCGAGATTGTGCCATTGCACTCCAGCCTGGGGTACAGAGTGAGACCCCATCTCAAAAAAAAAAAATAATAATAGTTCAGTAAACAAATGTTACTTAAACTATGTAAGAGTTATAAAATAGTTAAAAAAAATTCTCCCCCTCCCCCAAATTTTGGAAGGACATATAAGAATGATATAATATCATTAACTAGATTGAGACACATAGAATACTACAGACAAATAGGACATAGGGATATAAAAGTAAAAGGTGTATCAGTGATAGAATTGGTAAGAAAAAAAAACAGTAATACTTGACTTACTAAGAGATTTGTCTAGGGTTTGGCTGTTTTTCAACTATGGGAAAATCCCAAAAGCCAGGCTGCAGTGGTGCACAACCGTAGTCCCAAATACTCCAGAAGTTGAGGCAGGAAGATTCCTTGAGCCCAGGAATTCAAGGCTGTAGTGTGAAACATGGTGCCGGTGAGTCGCCACTCTCTCACTTCAGCCTGGGCAACATAGCATGACTGTGTCTCTCAGAAAGATTACAGCAATTATAAAACATTTGTTTCAGCGGAAATGTAACTTTTTTGTGTCTCATTATTTAAAAAATTCAGTCAGTGCACTTTAACTTATAATTTTGATGGTGTTTTTATGATCTTAACACCCAGAAAAGTAATATAGGCCCATGCTAAATGAGGCCTCAGCCTTCTATCTTTACCTGGGTTCATGTCCCAGCATATGATAGAAGAGCAAATCTAATGCTTTTAAGAAAGCGTTGCAGCAGCTAAAAGAGAACAAATTAAATGGATGTTCTAACATAAATTACAAGCTAGCTAGCTGATTAAAAACATCAATATATTGCTTTGTGTTGTTTCTCTGAGTATACCATATCTGTGTGCCCATGAAACATTGGTATGCCTCCATTGAGACTTGTTTTTCTCTCCTTATTTACGTAAAAGATAACACACAATTTAGTGGCATCAAGTAAAGTGACAGAACATACGATCTTTTGGTTTTCCATTTTTGAGTTACTTCACTTAGAAGAATGGCCTCCAGCTCCCTCCAAGTTGCCGCAAAAGTCATGATTTCATCCCTTTTGAAGTCTGAGGAGTAGCCCATGGTGTGTGTGCACCACAGTTCCTGTATGCACTCATCAGTCGATGGGCACTTAGGTTGGTTCCATATCTTTGAAGTTGCAGATTGTGCTCTAAACATGCATTTGTATGTGTCTTTGTGTCTTTTTTCATGTGACTACTTCTTTTCCTTTGGGTAGATACCCAGTAGTGGGATTGCTGGATGAAATGGTAGTTCTGCTTTTACTTCTTTAAGGACTCTCCATGCTGTTTTCCATACTGGTTGTGCTAATTTACATTCCCGCCAGTCGTGTAAAAGTGTTCCCTCTTCACATTCAAGCTGAGTTGGTTTTCAGCTTTTTAATGGTGGCAGTTCTTGCAGGAGTAAGGTTGTATCTCACTGCGGTTTTCATTTGCATTTCCTTGATTAGTGATGTTAGTGCCCTTTAAATAGAGACTTCAGTAGTTTCCTTGTTTCATTCTCCATATGAGACCACAAGACAGCTAAATTTCTATTTATTTTAATTTTGACATGAAGGCTCCCTCTTGTCCAGGCTGGAGTGCAGTGGCACGATCTTTGCTCACTGCAACCTCTGCCTTCTGAGTTCAAGCAGTTCTCCCGTCTCAGCCTCCCGAGTAGTTGGGACTACAGGTGCCTGCCACCATGCCCAGCTAATTTTTCTATTTTTAGTAGAGACAGGGTTTCACCATATTGGTCAGGCTGGTCTCCAACTCCTGATCTCAGGTGATTCACCCACCTCAGCCTCCCAAGGTGCTGGGAATACAGGCGTGAGCCACTGCTCCCAGCCGAGGCAACAAGACATCTATCGATGAACCCTCACCAGACACCAAATTTTTTTGGTGAGTTGATGTGAAATTCCCAGCCTCCAGAACTCTAATAATGTCTATTGTTTATAACTCACCCAGTTTATGACATTTAGTTACAGCAGCCTGAATGGGCTAAAACGGTATGTGTGTAATTACCTTCTTAGCACTGCGTTTGCTCGAATCTGTAAGTTTTTGGTATGTTATGTTTTTATTTCTTTTATCTCAAGATAATTTCTGACTTCCCTTTGATTTCTTTTTTGATACATTGGCTAGTTAAGAGTATGTTGTTTAGTTTTTCTTTTCTTTTTTTCTATTGAGACAGGGTCTTGCTCTGTCACCCAGGCTGGATGGCAGTGGTGCAATCTCTGCTCACTGCAGCCTCCCTCTGACTTCCAGGTTCAAGTGACTTTCATGCTTTAGCCTCCCAAGTAGCTGTGATTACAGGTGCCCGCCAGCATGCCCAGCTAATTTTTATATTTTTATTACAAACAGGGTTTCACCAGGTTGGCCAGACTGGTCCCGGACTCTCGACCTCAGGTGATCCACCCACCTTGGCTTCCCAAAGTGCTGGGAGTACAGGTGTGAGTTACCACATCTAATCTAATTTTTCAAACAATGGAAACATTTGTGATTTTTTAAAAGTTCTCCTGTTAATTTAATGTGACTAGATATGATGCTTTGTATACTTTCTGTCTTTAAAGTTGATTAATCCTTCTCTTCTGGGCTAATATATTGTCCATTTTTGAGAATGTTTCATGTGCACTTGAGAAAAATGTGTGTTCTTCTGCTATTGGGTGCAGTGTCCTGTGTATGTCTGCTAGGTCCAATCGGTTGATGGTGTTGTTTCATTTATTATCTTAATGATCTTCAGTCTAGTTTTCTACTCATTGTTAAAAGTCGCATATGAGGGCTGGGTGTGTTGGCTCATGCCTGTAATCCTAGCACTTTGGGAGGCCAAGGTGGGCAGATCACCTGAGGTCGGGAGGTCGAGACCAGCCTGGCCAACAAGGCGAAACCCTATCTCTAGTAA